GCCTGACGCGGGGCTCGAACTCACGGACCGCGAGATCATGACCTGGCTGAAGTCGGACGCTTAACCGACTGCGCCACCCAGGCGCCCCCAGACTTATTCTTAAAAGGAGTTCCATTGCAGCTGCTGATCTGAGAAGGCTTAAGGGCAAGGTGGAAGCAGAAGGTCCAGTTAGTGGAGGTGTGGAGAAGCAACCACATTTTAGATAGAGCCACAAGATTTGTCCCCAGACCAGATGAGGAGTTAGGAAGAAAGAAGCGCATCAAGGACAACAGCAGGGTCTTGGGTCTGAACAATTGGACAGTTAATGACTGAGCTGGAGGCTGCAGGCAGGGCACGTCTGGCAGGCAGGATATCCAGTGTTCTGGGTAGGTAATGCTCTGGGTGTCCCTAAAATAGCAAGTCTTTCCTTCCCACCAAATACTATGCTGATTTCACAGAGGAGCCTGTGGCCTGGCCCCCTGACCACGAGTCCCTGGGAACAGCATGGAGCCCCCGCCTCTTGGAGGAGAGAGGAAGGGGGAAAGGCTAAGTGCCCGCCTCCCCCAGTTAATGCCACTCTACCTGCTGCTCTTGGAGCCTAGCCCAGAGATACCCAGGGATCCAGGCCAGGCAGTGGAGCTAGAAACCATAGCGGCAGGGGGCAGGGGGGGCAGGCGGCTTCTGCAGATTTATCCTCCTCCAGCTCTGCCTGGGACGGCTTTTGCAGTCCCCGAAGGCAGGGAGCACGCAGGCCCACAGGGAGACCTGCCAGAGAGGGATGGCCTGGTACCTACTGGGCTGCGTGACTCAGGGTGGGTCCCTGCACCCCTCAGCCCCCTCCTGTCCCCCAGTACTTCCTGTCCACACCAGCCACTGCAGCTCCCCCTTATTGCCTGGGGCAAAGCTGAGCCCCTCACTTCCTAAGACCTGGCCGAGCTCTTGCCTCCTCCAGGACACACGCCTTCTCCCTCCTCTCCCCTCTTCTGGATCCTTCTTGTCTCTCTCTGCCCTTCTCGCCTCACACTTACAAGAGCGACCTCGTGTGGCTCCTGGACCCCGCTGGGCACTACCTGTTTCCCCACAAGAGTGTTGCTGGGGAAGAGCCCTGGAGCCTCTCCCGACACTGGCTCTCACGGCCCCATCACCCTTGACATGGCCTGAGGGATGCCATCAGAATGTGATCCCTGGGTCTGTCCCGCCCCTGTGCCTCTCCATAGCCCTCTGGTGCTCCCCACAGGGAGGCGGGCGGCGTGTCAGCAGGTGGCGAGGGTGGGGCTCAAGTAAAGCTGTGTGTACAGGCCACTTGTCAAAATTAGAAACCAGACAACAGGTACAATGCAACTAGTCCTCAAATAGCCACGTCTGAACATCACATCCCCCCACGCAGGGCCTCCCAAGGCCTCAGGGTGGCCGGCACCAGGCCAGCTGGACAGCGGGCAGACACAGACAAACCATGGCAGAGGGTCTGGTCAGGCAGGTGTCTCCAGAGGGCAGGAGAGGCCGAGTCAGCCAACATGAGCACCTGCCCTGTGCCTGTGTGACCGCCACCTCCATCCTGTGCCTTTCCATACACTCTCCCCTGTGACTGCCCTCAGCCGTCTTCTGAGGCTGGAATTGTCATCTCTACTTTAAGATGAGCACACTGGGGTCGTGTGACTTGCCTAGGCTGTGAGTTGGGGTTTCAAGCCCCGCTGTTTATCACCAACACATTGGCTCTTCCCTTGGGCACACTGCCTCCAGGCAGCACCACACATCTGTCACCCCAAGAGCCATGGCCTCAGGGAGGGCCTGCTGGGCCAGACGTGTTCCAGCTCGGCCTAGAGCAGCCAGGCCAGAGTGGATGCTGCCCTTTGGGGTGGCCTTGGGAAGGGAGTTGGGGCAGTGAGCTGCAGACACATCTAAGCCAGCACTGCCTGTGTGCATCCCCACCGTGGGAGATGACCCAAGGGAGCCGGGGGCACCGGATGGGGTCCGGACAGTGATTCCTAGCCCCATATGCGAGTTGGACTAAACACACTACTGAGTAAGGTCGTGCATGTGAACTTGGCCAGTGCCTGGCGTGCAGGAGCAACTCCATCAACACTACTTCCTGTGTCTTTCTAGCCTTTTCCCTCGTTCACATCTTCCCCTCCTGTGGGAGTTTTGTCTATCGATTGCCTGTGTCGCTGTCCACCGCGTGCTTAGCCTAGTGCCAAAACTCCTCGTGGCCACCGCCCCATGCCTCCCATCCGTCCCAGCCCCAGGCCTGCCACGTCTGAGTCGTCAACCCCCCGCAGCGGTCCTGTTATTTGCCACCTTCCCAGCACTGCCGTTCAGCTCGGGCTCCCTCGGCCTCACGGTTGCCTCGCAGTAATTTCTCATCCCCTCCGTCATTCTGCATCCCAGTGGCTTTCGTCACCCTCAGGGCAAGATTCAGGCTTTATAACCCGGCTTGAGTGGCTTTCCCCTGCAGCCTAGTCTTCCCCGCCCCTCCCCCCGCCTTGCACACTGCCTCCCACCGCCCGGCTCCAAATGAAGTCTCCCAGACAATTGCTCTGCTCCTTCTGCCTGCAATGCCCTTCCCTGCGGGCTTGCCCAGCTCGCTTCTGCTCCGTGTGTTCGGACCCCAGTCAGCCGCCACTTCTGAGACACCACCCGGATCCAGCCCCAGCTCAACCGTGTCAGCTCTGCTCGCGCTCCCTCCCTCCCACCTGCGGGGCTGTAACCGGCTGCTGCTTCTCCGTTGACAAACTGGGGGGTTCCCCAGGTCTGGGAGCATGGCGGCCAAGGAGCAGGCCTCTGTGTTTGCAGAGTGACTGAGTGAGTGAGTGGTGGTCACCAAAAAACCTAGGATAGAAAGATGCAAACTAATTGGGGAACTACCCGGGGTCAAGCAGCTGTCGGCTCTTTGCAGGGAGCTGGGGAGGTGGCCGGGAACACGGCAGCTTTGTTCTCAGGGGCGCTCAGCATTTGGCAGCATCTGGGGCTGAGCAGGAGTAAGGGAGGTGAGCTCATCAGTGGGCGTGAGAGCTCTGCGCTCGCGTTGGACTCATCACACCCACCCACCATCCTTTCTCCACCTCTCCTCTCGGGAACATGATTGTCTTCAGGGTATAGAGGGAAGTTTCCATCCCGGACCTGGGCAGGCATATCAGTTTCTCACCCCAGATCTGCTGAGGCTGGGGGTGAGGCTTGGCAGGGGGTGGGGGTGGGGGTGGGGGGGGCGCGGTTCTGAACCCTAAAGGATTTCAGGAACAGATGACTCTTTTCCTTTGGTCCCAATCCCTTACGATCCAAGGAAATTAAGAGCAGGCCGACACAATATCCTGTATCTGTCATTACTTAATACGGTTCTTTTTGTTTTTTTTCAAGCCAGTTTGAACTACAACCAGAACATTTGCTTCTGCTTCTAAAAATGTTTTAGGCATTTCTGGGGCTCCTGGGTGGCTCAGTCGGTTAAGCGTCCGACTTCGGCTCAGGTCATGATCTCACGGCCTGTGAGTTCGAGCCTGCTTCAGATTCTGAGTCTCCTGCTCTCTGACCTTCCCCTGCTCACGCTCTGTCTCTCTTTCTCAAAAACAAATAAACATCAAAAAATTTTTTTAATGTTTTAGCCATTTCCGTTCAGCTCTGATGCCCAAGTGGATGTGTTGTTCACATGCATCTATTAGACCCCAGTGCGCACAGCTCAGGTCGGCCTCTGGAGTATCCCCAGCCTCTCCTTTCCTATAAACTGGGGAGCAGGGAAAACCCACCAGCTCCTGCTGGTCCCAGCTGCATGGGTGTGGGGAGAGACCCTCCCAGGAAGCTTTAGTCCACCCAGTGAAGTGTAGACCTTCTTTTTGCTCAGACTGTCACAGAATTGTGCAGGCTCAGCACCCACCTGTGGAAGGGTCCTGAGACTCTCCGAGAATACGTGTGTTCATGTTAGAAAGCCTCCTATAACCATGACCATGGCAGGTAAGCTCTGTGCAGGTGCAGGGGGCCTCATGACTTTGTGGGAAGTTCAGGAAACTGAGCCTTCTCTCTCTCTCTGTCTCTCTCTGTCTCTCTCTCTCTCTCATTCATTCTGGGGGTGTTTCTTAAGCACCTCCTATGTGCCAGGAATACACAATGGTGCATAGCATGCCAAGTCGTGCCCTCGTGGTGCTTGATAAGTTCCACAGGTGGCTCTGTGTAATAATCCTTGCATTTTTCATACATTCACCTTTTGGGGTTAAATAAATAGACCTTAAAATAGAACCTTGTATTTTTTCTCATATGGGAAACCAGATATGCTCTGAGGAAGACGTCCGTGTCCTTGCCTCCGTCAAGCCCAAAATAACCTCATCTGGGTTGAGCGTGCGTCGAGGAGATCCCCACGGTGGTGTGGGGCAGGCAGGAAGGCAGAGGGGGCCTCTGCCAGGGCTCTCGCTGCGGCGAAAATCCAAGCCCTGCCCTGCTCACGGGTCCCAGGACCAGGCTGCAGGCTGGACAAAGGGCATCTCCCGCGTCCCTCCCTGGCCAGGGGCCTCTCAGCCTCCTGGTGGTCGATGGAGGCCCATTGCCTCTTGTTCTTAAAGGAGGCTGATTTATAGCAGGAAGAGTGGAAAGTGATACTGCGCTGGGAGGTAATAGATCAGCGGTCAGGGAGTCCAAGGCTATCGCTCTGCCTACTGGTTCTCCGGAGGGCGGGGAATTCACCGGTTGTCACCGGGGCCTTAAAATGGAATGTTCTTGTTTTATGCTGTTGAATATTGGTGATTGCACGGCAGTGTGGGAGCCGCCACAACCCACCCCCTCCTCCCACCACACTGAGAAGATTGAAATGTTTCCGATTGAAATGTTGTCTGTTTACAGCCCATATTTCCTCCGAGCTGTATATTTTATTGTCATATTGACACTAATTTGACTTGGATGTCACCTCCGTTCTGACGCCCGTTCTTTATGCTGCCTGCGGGTCCAAGGGGGTTTTCAGAGACCAATTACATTGATCACACCACAGAGAGGCAGGAGGAGCCGCTGGAGGGACTGCCGGAGGCCCCATTCGGGCCGGGAGTCCGTGCCCAGCCTGCAGACAGGAGGGAGACTGAGGCAGAGGAGAGCAGGCCACAGGTTCCCCGAGGGGCAGGACTGCTGTGTGCAGACCCGGGCTAGGTAGTGTACGTGGGTCACCTGGTGAACCGGCACAGACACGAAGTCACTTTACAGGCGAGGAAGCCGAGGCCCTGAGCCTGAGCCCTAAATTTGTCTACATCACAGAACTAGAAAATGGTGCCGGCCAGTCTCAACCCCAAGCCTCTGGGCTCCAAAGCCGAGGTGTTTTCAATCCCCCCATAAGAGAGGGTGAGGGGGCTGCGGACGGCTAAGTGTGGGGCAGGTTGAGGTCCTCCAGTTGGGTTTCCTTAGAGCATTTCCTCAGTGAGTCCAGAAGGTATGTGGGCGGGGCTGGGCTGTGCAGGGATGCTCCCTAACCGGTGAGGACCCAGGGCCCACGAGCCAGGCCACGAGGCTGTGTCCTGCCACCGCCAGGGGGGGCGTGTCCCAGTCCCACGCTCAGGACAGCATCTGGCACAGAAAGGCCTCCTGGGAGGTGGTGCTGGGACACAGCTCTCTCCACTGCTGGTGCCCCACCTGCCCTGCCCACGTCCTGGGGAGCCAGCCCCTGCTTCCTCCTGCCGCCCTCATTCCAGGTTCCTGGGTCCTTGGGACCACCACCCCCCCCCCCCCCCCCCCCCCAGAGCTCGGGTGACATGCTGGTCACAAGCCCATAGCAACCCAGAGGTGGATACTGTTGGCCCATCTTCCAGGTGAGGAAGCAGCTCAGGGAGGTTCAGAGCCTCGCCCAAAGTCGCCCAGATCAGAGCAGTCAAGCAGGGTCAGAACATAGTCTGCCTGCACCCGGGGCCCGTTCTCAAACCTCCTGCCCTTCCCGGCTGCCCCCAGGGAAAGCAGCGATGTCCCCAAACACTCTGGAGTCACCTAGTAATCCCAGGAGCCCTGCCCAGTGCTCTGGGCACCATTTTCTTCTCTCACCTGGACAGTGAGCTTCACAGGAGGGCAGGGCCGAGGGTCCCCCCCCCCCTTGCTTGCAATCCCCGAAAGCGTCCAGCCCGATGCCTGCCATACCGTCACCACGACAAGGCTCTGATGGGTGAATGAACTAACACACGAATGAGCAAAAGAAAGACGTAGTGGCTGAAACAGGAGCCAGATGCAAGCGGCAGCAGGAGTGGGTAGCGTGGGGCGTCTGCCCGGGTGAGGGCAGGCTGGTGTCCGGTCCCCCCCGGCGGCTGACAGAAATCGGCGCAGGCTCATCCACAGATGAATGGACGCAACAGCTCTGCCAGTCCCCGGTCATAAATCACAGGAGAAGCCACAGGAAATGAGTGCCAGGATTTTCTTTCTATTTAGTAATTTATCAAGGGAAGAGGCACATTAATAAACATATTTCCCTCGAGGGGTGGGAATAACAGAGATGAATATCACTGTCAGATTTGCCCTGTTTCCTCTTGTTAGGGGCACGTGAGAGGGTGGGAATCCAAATATTAGCAGCAAAGTCTTTTTTTAGAACATGCATTAGAAGGATGAGTGTATTTCTTAGTCTACAGGATGTTGGATTGTCCCTCCCACCTCGTGTCTCTCCATTTGCCACTCGGTTCGTAAGTGACAGGACTCTTTGGGAGGATTCACGTTTGCATCTTTGATTTTCCTTGGAAGTGAGGACCGACGGGGAGTGAACTCAGTAAATAAGAACAAAGAAGCCTAGAGGAGCCCAGATGAATGGACAGATGAGTGAATGCTGTAGTGACAGACGTACTGCTGTGTGGCCCGACTGTGTTTTCTAGACTTGCTGTCCCTCACTCCAGTATTAGCTTTACGCTCATCCTGCCCATCAAAGCCGTCCTCCTCGCCCCTGAAGAAGTGACGTTAATTCTCAGTTTCGTTTTAGAAGGTCTGCTGGGCTTTCAGCACTTCAGTGGTTTGCTGGTGTCCTCGAGATTACTCTGCAAGCCAAGCTGTACTGCCCCCATTGTACAGATGGGCAAAGAGAGGCTCAGGAGGCTGAGTGATGTGCTCCAAGCACTAAGTGTTGGGTTTGGTGTGGCCCAGCTGTGTGTTCCCACATGGTGTGTATGTGCATCTGACCACCCCAGCCCCCACCTCCAAGCACATCCTTCCCCGCAAGGTGCGTCTTCTCTCTACCCTGGGCGGAGGCGGTGTGCTGAGTGCTTTGGTGGCCAACTGCCTGACTTCCAAGTCTACTTCTGCACTTCCCCTGGCTGCATGGCCTCTGTCATTCGTAAAACAACAGTAGTAATAGTTCCTTCCTTCTAGGACAGTTGACGCTATTGAATACTTTAAAGATTAAACAACTTAATACGTTGGAGTGCTCAGAACAGTACCCAGCACCTTCAGGGCAGTGGATAAATATTGACTTGCCCTGGCTGTGATTCTGCTGTCCCTCACCTGTGCCCACAGCTCAACATTTGCCATCTTCCACGTGGGCTCACCACCGAAAGGATGCATATGTGTATGTGTATGCATATAACAGTGGGGGGAAAGGACCCAAGTCCCTGATGCATAAAGGTGGGAGGGGCAGAAGCAAGCAGATAACCACACCGGTGCATGCGGACTTGACAACGTGACCCCCAACTTCCCAATCAGAGGATGTCAGGGTGCTCTCCCTGGGAGAGTGATAACCCGTGGAGGTCTGAGCACAGAGAGGAAGGGAGAGCACTTCAGGCAGAGGAATGGGCATGTGCAAAGGCCCTGTGCCGGAAGACAGATGACAGGAATAGGCAGCTGGGAGGTGGCTGGAGCAGAGCCTGGGAGGTGGGCAGGATGAAGCTGGAGAGGTGGGCAGGGGGCACCCACAGGGCCTCCAAGCAAAAGCCACCTTGAGCATTTGGGCTTTTTTCCTAATAGTACTGGGAGCTTTGGAAAGGTTAGGGCAGGGGGGCATAGGGACATGATTCAATTTACACATTAAAAAGCTCTTTCGGGCTGCAGTGAGGAATGTGGATGGGACAGCAATTAGCTAAGGGCCCTGGGATGACCCAGGCTAGCAGTGGGCTGGGGGAATAGGAGGAGGGAGAGAGGAAGGGAACCTGCAGGGGGCTTTGAGGGCAGACTCAGTCATGAAGGAGGTAACAATGGAAAGGCATCAGGCCAACTCCCATCAGAGGCTGTTTATCCCAGTGGCCCAGGAAGAAAGGGGCTTCCCGGGTTTGCCAAGGGCGAGGGGTCAGAGGAGCGCCAGGCATGGGTGCCCCCAGGGCCCAGCAGGGGACCTGGGGGCATGAGGTCGTGGGCAGGGGCTCTGCTGAGGCTTCTGCAGTTGGTAGCTGGGGGGCTCTATGCACTCACACAGGCCAAATAGGCCCCGAACCTTCTCAGGGGCTGGTCGGCACTGGGGATGGGGGCTCAGAGATCCCCAGGCCGTCAGCCCTGCCCTTAGTGCCCCCACAGCTGTGGGAACAAGGCACCAACACACCAACCCTGCAGCCAGGGCAACCTGCCGCCTCCCTGGAGGAGGAGCACCTGTGGGGTCTAAGCAGCTCTGAGCAGACAGAAGGGAAGAAGGCGGGCATCACGAGCCCAGGAACAGCCGAACACAGGCATGGAGGCAGGCTGCGCGTAGCAGAGGTGTGCACCAATAGCCTCTGGAGCTGTCTACAGGCAACCCCTCCAGCCCAAAGGGAACCTGGAGGCCCCCGAAGGGGCACAGAAAGAGGTGTCAGTGCCGACATCCAGAAATGCAGGGGCATGGCAAAGCGTTTAGGTGCCCCTGCCGTGTAATGTACTCCTCACCACAGCCCCAGGGGCCAGATCCAGGAGACCCTTGCACAGAGAGGAACCCAGGGCTCAGGGAGGATCTGGAAAGGGCAGACACAGAGCATGTGGGAGTTGCCCGGCGACACTGGCAGGTCGTTTATTCTAGACCATTGTTTGTCCAGAGGAGAGAGCCAGAACCCTGACTGGGGAGCAGGGGCGCAGTCTGGAGCCAGGCGGGAGAGTGTGACCCCAGGGTCAAGGAGCCCCCCCTCTGGTTCAGGCTGTCTTCCCGCAGTTCCTTACAGGTGAGGGGTGAGAGCTTATGCAAGGGGCCGTCAGAGAGAGCGGTAGGGTGGTGGCTGGGGTGTGTGCCTGTGCATGAAGAGTGTTTAAGGTGACAGGTTCTTGAAGCCTCGGGCAACTCCGGAAGCCAGGGTAGTGGCTGCCCTTGGGGTGGGTCTGGAAGAACGCTGGCCGTGCCGGTTTCTCGACCTCGCGCTAGCTTCATAGGTGGGTTCAAGTCGTGGCCACCAAGCTCTTCAACACTTAGCTGCTATGCCTTAAGCGTTGCTGAATCCAGCCCCGCTCCCTGCAAAACTAATAGTAAAGGCACTAACTTATGTTCAGCGAACATATTCTCTCCCCCAAGCATCTGACCTGTGTTTCTCACACCCCCACCACGTCATGCATGGATCCATCCCATTCTATAGATAAGCAGACTGAGTTGGAGAGAGGCCAGGGCCCTTGCCCAAGAGCCCCCAGCTGTGCTTCTCATTACACTGTCCTCAGAGGCTCTTCCCGCTGTCCCCCCCACCAGTCCCCCTCCCCCAATTCTACCCCCTACAAGCACAGTGATGCCTGGGGTTGGCTGTCCCCACAGTGTCGCGCTTCTCCAGCCCACGGGTGACGCCCCGCCTGAGCCGCAAGCGGGCGCTGTCCATCTCCCCGCTGTCAGACGCCAGCCTGGATCTGCAGCGGATGATCCGGACGTCACCCAACTCGCTGGTGGCCTACATCAACAACTCCCGCAGCAGCTCGGCGGCCAGCGGCTCCTACGGCCACCTGTCAGCAGGCACCCTCAGGTGAGCCCAGCCGGCATGTGGGTGGCCGAGCCCCAGAAGGTGCGCTGGGGGCCACATGGGGGAGGGCCCATGCTTTCGACCCGTGAAGAAAGACAGGACACGTTGCATTTGTGAGTCGGTGTGCTTGCAACCGCTCCCTGAATTCCACACCGACCACGATGATGCCGCAACGTGCTAACATTCGAATATGTCTTCCTGTGTCCGCTCATCCCCCAAACCCATTCCTGTGTCCGCTCATCCCCCAAACCCACTCTCTGATGTGAAAAGTATGTTTACTGGGCCTGGCACGAAAGAGTCAACCATAAAACCCAAGGTTTTATGGCAGCCACAGCCATTGGTGGCGCAGGTTGTGACGCCGACTTGGGCCATGCCAGGTCTCCGAGCAGGCAGCCAGCTTCCCTCTGTGGTCACAGCACGGCACACCCAGACCTCACACCATTCGCCCTTGTCCCCACCCCACCCCCACTCCACCGTGCAGCCCATGGCTGTTCTAAGGACTCAGACCCAACCACCTTGACTCAACTCATTTCCTCCCCGCAACCCTCCTCAGGGAGGCCAGGAGGTGTGAGGAATGTCAGGAGAGCCTGGCCCTGGGACATGCAGAGATCGAAGTGGTAACAAGGATGTTGGCTATCTTTTTTTACCAGACAAATTACTCCGAACCTTAGCTGTTTAAAGCAACAACGAGCATGGACCATCTCGAACTGTTTCTTGGGGTCAAGAAAATGAGACTGGCTTGGCGCTGGGTCTCACGAGCCTGCGCTGAGGGTGTCGGCCAGGGCTGTAAGGCACCTGAAGACTTGCCTTTATTTCACGTTACGGGAGTCTCTCTATAAGGCTGCTTGAGCTTCCTCACGGCATGGCGGCTGGCTCCCCCACCCCCACCCCGAGTGACTGATGCAGGAGAGAGCAAGGAGGAAGCCACATGTCTTTTTCTTTTTAAGTTATGTACTTATTTTGAGAGATAGAGAGAGAGAATCTCAAGCCCGATGAGGGGCTCCATACCATGAACCTTGAGATCATGACATGAGCCGAGATCGAGAGTTGGACGTTCAACTGACCGAGCCACCCAAGCCACATGTCTTATATGGCTTAGCCTTGGAGGTCAGCATTATTTCCGCAGTATCGTGTTCTGGAGAGAGGGCTCATATGCAGATGGCATAAAAGAACCTAGAGGTGCAGCAGAAGTGAAAGAAGAGAGGGGGTGATGCGAGCTGCAGGGCCCAAGGCACATGTCCTGGACAAGCGGGCATCAGAAGCGGCCTCAGGGCCCAGTGGGCTCAGATGGTCAGGGATGCCTCTCAGGCGTCAGAGAGGTGAAGGGCTGGGGTGTAGGCCTGAGATGGCGCCTGGCCCCTCCCTGGGGTGAAGGCTGGGTCATGGGGCGGGGCCTGCAGGCGAGCACAGCCCGTGAGGCCTGAGATGGCAAACAGTGGTGGCTCTTGAGCCAGGTAAAGCCATGCTGACCGTAAGATAAGCAACATGCCCCTCCCGATCCCTGGCAGGGTCCTCTCTGCGCAGGAAGTCTTGACCAAACAGCCTCCGCACCCCCCAACTCTGTTCCGTGACTTGCCTGCTCTCCTTTGCAGCCCAGCCTTCACCTTCCCCCACCCCATCAACCCGGTGGCCTACCAGCAGATCCTGAGCCAGCAGAGGGGCCTGGGCTCAGCCTTCGGACACACCCCGCCCTTGATCCAGCCCTCGCCCACCTTCCTGGCCCAGCAGCCCATGGCCCTCGCCTCCATCAATGCCACGCCCACCCAGCTCAGCGGCAGCGCCACCTGTCTGAGCGACGCCACCCAGGTAGGTGGGTCCCCGGGTTCCCGGGGCCCCACGAGAGCTGATCATTGCCGTCTCATGCCGGGAACTTGTGGAAGGACTCCCCGCTCAGGTGTGGCTGGTGGGATGCCTTCTGGCGATAGGCCACTGGATCAGAAGGGCCGGATGCTGGATCAGGAGACCTGGGCGGGGTCCTGACACCCTCACTTTCGCTGGCAAGTGCCTGGCCTATAAATTCTGTGGTCGCCTGTCCTATCAACATAATGAGTAGACGGAGCAACCCTAGATTTCAGGCTCTGGCAGACAGAGTACAATGTACTCGGTACTTAGAGCCTAGGTTGACCAAAGGCCATCTTATTTGAGCTCTCCAGCAGGCCTTCGATGTGGCAGGGCATGCTGGTACAGTGCCAGGCACACAGTAAGCGCCATTATTTTTTGCTGAATGAAGCCCCATTTTGCACATGAGGAAATGGTTTTAGAGGCAGTATCGGGGCGTGGAAGGACACAGTTGTGGACTCCGCCAGACTGCGTTTTGGAACCCAGCTCGCTGGAAGCTCTTTCAGCCTGGGCTAACGCATCCGCGGAGCGGGGCCTGCCGCCTAATCGGGTCGTTGTGCGCATACCTGAGCTTGGGTGTGCAGAGCCCCGTGGGGACCCGGATCGTGGCTAACGTTCACGATGACAGTTCTTGAGGTCGCGCCACCTCCCAGGCCAGCCACCTGGCAGGGCGGAGCCCAGAGGTGAGCATGTGCTGGGACGAAGGCAAGACCCCACTCTGTCTGGAGCAGCCCCTCTTCCAGGACGCCCTCCCTCTCCACCCCAGGGCTCCAGGTGTCCACCTGGCACCTCCCCCCAGACAGTAGCTATCAGCTCTTGTGACCAGGCCCTTCTTTCCTGCTCCCTGGGCTGGCCCAGCCCTGTTCTCCTGCTCTCATGCTTCAAGACCCCCTGCTCCAGAGGGCTGAGAAGCTGAGGCTGCTGGAACAGGAGTGAAGGTGTCCCGCATTTCGCAAAGAGAGGGTTTCTTTTCCATTCCCAGGGAGGTGGGGGGGTGGGGAGTTGGAAAGCCGAGCTCTGGGCTCTCTCGTGGCTGTGCCCCCCCAGCCAGAGGACCAAGTCGGGAGACCCGGCTTCTGAAACTTCAAACAGAAGTGCTGGCCCATCCTACGTGGGGAGGATCCCTGAGGTAAAGCCCAAACAGAACTCGGGGTGTCCCCGCCCTGCCCCTGCATGACGGACTCCCCTGCTCCCTCCCTCAGAACAAGCAGAACAGCGAATCGGCTGTGAGCAGCACCGTGAACCCCATCGTAATTCATAAGCGCAGCAAGGTCAAGACAGAGGCAGAGGGCCTGCGGCCAGCCTCCCCGCTGACCCTGACGCAGGTAACCTACTGGCTGTCTTGGCCGTCCTCCAGCTGGGTGAGCGGACCTGGGACCTTGGCCCTGGTGGTGAATGGACGAACGGACAGCTGCCTGCATGAATGAGTGAACCAGAGAGGGCGGGGACACCGTGAGCTCAGGGAGGACCAGAGCTGTGTCCCCAGCACCCTGCACGTTACATGCTCATCAAACACGTTCTGCATGAAAGAGCGGATGGGCGGATGGATGGATGATGGAGGGAGGATGGAGAGATGGATGGATAGATGGATGGATGGATGAGTGGATGGATGGATGGACGGATGGATAGATGGATGGATGGATAGACAGACGGACGGATGGATGGATGGATGAGTGGATGGGTGGATGGATGAGTGGATGGATGGATGGATGAGTGGATGGATGGATGGACGGACGGATGGATGGATGGACAGACGGATGGATGGATGGACAGATGGATGGATGGATGGACGGACGGACGGACGGATGGATGGATGGGTGAGTGGTTGGATGGATGGATGAGTGGATAGATGGATGGATGAGTGGATGGATGGATGGATGGGTAGATGGAT